GGTCTGGTTATGCCTGGTTATGAAACTCATTAACAAGCTGCTCCACAAGTTTTTAGGACAACAGAGCCGCTCGGGCCAGAGTGGAGCTCCAAGTGCTTAAGGAGCTGGTGGAGAGTGAAGGGCACGCACGCCCCAGGCACAGACCCACTCGAGAGTGCACCTCCCGCTAGGCTGCCCGCCCCAGGGCAGGAGAAGGACGGTTCCCTGGGGTCTGGGAGCTCCAGGACCCACCCTGACTGCAGGGAAACCCGATCCCTGGCTGTGCAGGCAGCAGGGGGTACGTAGCAGGCTGGGGAGAGGCCTGCCAAGGTCCAGCTGAACCAGGCCCAGGAGCCTACAGGGTCCTCACAGCCCCCACTCCCCAGCTCTGGTTCCCTGTGCTGCAGAGCAGCTGCTGGTCTGCCCTGGCTGCCAGGAGAACCGAATGCGGGGCAGGAAGGCCTAGGTCCCTTGTAAAGGCATTTCTTTCCTAGACGAGGTGCCAGGCGGGTCCCCCCCCCCCACGCAAGCCTGGTACCCCCGGCCTCCGCATGCACCCACCCCACGGGTGACAACGTCAGACAGCCTGTGCACATCACATGGGTGTTTGCAAACACACGAGCTCTGGGAAGAGGCCAAGTGCCCCAACTTCAGAGAAGAATTAGCACTTTCCACTGAGATGCTGCCCCAGCAGAGAACTGGCTCACAGCGGCCAACACACCAACGCCAACACCCCATGCTGCCCTCTGTTCCTCCCTTCCTTCCTCCCCCCTTTCCCTCACTGACTTCCTGACCCCTGGCCTGTCTCCAAAATCCTCCCTGATTAAGAAGGGCAGCTTCCCATAGCGGAAGTTAAAATGTCTGAGTTGACCCCAACCCCGAGACCAGCTGACTGAAGTTCTGGCAGGTCTCCAGGGCTCCCCAGACTCGGTCTCCCCGCAGAACCCCTTTCTAGTGCTAACAGCCTGGATCCCGGCGCACAGAACGCCCCTCCGCTCCCTGGGAAGGGAGTAAGCTGAGGGGAGCAGCCCTCGGACCCTGGACCCACCTTCGGTGCAGTACTGGCCCCTCCAGCCAGGGTTGCACACCTTCTCGCCCCGCTCCCCACAGGTGAAGTGGCCGAAGGCATCATCCCGGGGGCGGCAGAAGACTGAGCAGCCCTCCCCGTAGTAGTGCTCGTCGCACACGAAGCGATAGGAGTACTTGAGGTCAGCACGGCCGCTGCTGTGCAGGTCCTGGGACCACTCCTCACCCACCGTCAGGTGCCTCTGTGTGGCCAGCCGGCTGATGAGCCGCTCGGGGTTTTCTGCGGGAGAGGTGCCTGTGAGTGCTGACTGCACCTGGAGGCTGGACAGGGCAGGGAGGACCACCCTGCAGGGGGGGGACGGAGACCCGCTGCCCGGTGGCTCTGTGCAGAGTAAGGGTCCAGGACTCAGCCACAGGCACAGGGGTTCACAGAGTGCTGGGGCTTGGGGGGTTGTGTTTACCTGTGGCGAGGTCGTCGGGAGAATCTGTGTGCAGAGCTTCGATGATCAGAGAGAAGGTGCCCTGGGAGAAGCGGGGAGACAAGGAAAACTAGAACCTTCTCTTAAACACTGAGCTTTGGGGACACATCAGGGAGGCCTGTGGCTGCTAGCGACCTGGGTGGTGTTTTCACTTTCCTCAAGGAAATGGAAGAACTTTTTAAAGAGTGATTTCCTGGCGTGTTTTTTCAGCCTGTTAGTACAGGATATCACTTAAAAAAAAAAAAGGAAAAAAAAGACTGCGCGCAGCAGGCGGGGCTGTCCTGGTCTGCAGGCGGTGGACCCACGCGGAGGGCCTGGGGTGCCACGCGCAAGGCTGGCCGCGACCA